CAGGTCCAGCTTCCTGCTGCAGCCATTGGGGACTGCCCAAATCGCCCAAGCTCTCTGAATCTTTTCTGAATTGGTTCAGAAAGCTTTGAATCAATTTGGACCTTTTAATTGGTCCCCTAATTCTATTTGGATTCAGAGATTAGGCCACAGAATATGGCCAAATCTCCTCCAAATCAAATCAGCACCTAAAGCTTTGCACACCCTAGTAAACACTGTCACGTCTGTAATATTTGTTTGACTTCACTTGCTGAGGAGATCCTGGAATAAAAGACCTTTTGGAACCTGGAAAGAAGTGTGACTGTGTCTCGTGGAGTCAGCTGAAAGGTGACATTACCAGCTCACACTGAACAGCTAACCTTTGGATACCAGATCATGTAAGACAACTCTTATTCATATGCCTAGGCTCCAGACATAGTGCACAGAAAGGGTTAGATGCTAGGGCTGTGCGAAACGCCTGTGTTTTGTTTTGGTTTCAGATTCAGCATTTCAACAGGACAGCGATTTGTTCTGGCATTTTGAATTGTTATTTTGTTTCATTTTGGCTGAAACTATTTTCAAGTTTTGACACTGTTTCAATGCTGTTTTGGTGTTTCGGCCATAGGCTATAATGGGGAATAACTAAAATGCCTATAACTTTGTAATTTCTTGCCCAATTCTGATGAAAATAACAGAAACAGTAGCCCCTTCTGAGATCATGAAGCTTGCCAAGACACAAGGTGATAGGTGCAGGGGTTTCTGGGAAACTGCACCTCAGGTGCTGACAAGCAAAACTTGTGCCATGTCTGTGTGTTAAGGCAGAGTGGGGTAAAAACAGCAGGGATGGTAGAGCCCCTGCTGAGGCCATGAAGCTTACCAAGTTTCAAGGAGATAGGTGGAGGGGTTTCTGGGAAACTGCACTTTGTCACAGAGTAGGGTTCCTAGAGATGGCCATGATACCCCCAGGGCCCTGCAGGTGCCTTCTTTTCCCACCTGCCACCACATCTTGTTGGAAAAGATAACTGATAGGGAGGCAGTGCTCAAGCTTCAAGAGCATCTCTGTGGAGGACCCAGCCTCTGGTTGCCTCTGGTCATGGTCCGGGACCGTGCCCTGCCTAGCTTTTTTAGACTTTGATTTTTTTAGACCCCTGGATATACAGAGGTCTAACTTTCACTGGAAACTTGCAGTGCGGGGACCATTTTTTAGTTCCCAAAGGGGTTTGAGTTGAGGCAAGAGGCACATGCGTGCTCATCTGGACACGTCCATAGAGTCTTTCTTTCCTTTCCTGCAGGAGCTTCTTCTCCAGTAGCTGCCAGAGAACTCTCCCTACCAGCCCCAGTCCTGGAGCTTAGATGTGTCCAGGGCCCTGCCTTCTTCCAGTCAGCTGACCAGGGACAGGTACTAGGAGTGTAGGTTTTAGCCATGTTGGTCTAAGGACATAGCAGACAAGGTTCTTCAGGAAAGACCAACTGAATAGTTGGAGAAATATACCTTTGCAAGCTTTTGGGTTGAAAACCCTTCATCAGACTGAGAAAGCACCTGCAGTTGGTGTGTGTGTGTGTGCTTTTCCTGGATGGAAGGAATAGTAAAGAAGCCAGA